GGAAGCGGTATGATAGCATACACTAAACACAAATTCAAGATAAAAACCAATGAATAGCTTTACAAAACATGTAGGCCAACTAACAGCTAGAGAACAACTTCTCCCTATTGACCCGGAGCTTCGCATAACTCCACCGCCGAACTGCCAGTAAATGTCAACACAGTTTTATTTTATACTGCTTATGCGGACGTAATATGGTCACCAATATATTCCCGCCTTATTATTGTTTACCTGACCTATTCCCGCCTTATTATTGCTAGCCTAATTACTGTCGCTGTAAAGGAAAGTAAGTTTCAACTACCCTTCCCATCATGCTCACTGTTTCTCGCTTTAAAGTGACTTGGGATTTTTTCAACGTAAATTGCTTTTACATATTTTTTACAGATTGTTTATGCTGGATAATAACCTGTGAAGTTAAGTTCAACATAAGGTACATGCTCGATTGTATAACCTTCCGTTACTTTATGTTGTTTAATGAATACATGACATATTTAATAATTGTTTACCCCAGAAGAAAGTGTTGCACATTTGTGTCCCATAGGCTCTGATTATCCAGACCACAAAATACTAAAATTCTCCGGGAACTAAATTTCGTGTTACACCGGCAGCGAGACGTAAGTCAGCCACGCTTTGTAAAGCAGCCTGGCTTTGCAAAACAGTGACGTAGGCTTGGCTCTTCCATTTTTAGCTAAGGGAAACTTTTTTTGAAGGTAGTATCGCGTCATTTTACGTCAAACCATAACAATCTGCGTCAATGTAGGTAAATTTGAGTCAACATACGTAAATTCCCGTGAAATTAACGTCAACACTAAAGAAAAATCTGAGTGTTTGAGGTGTATACGATACGAACGTACATTTAAACTAGGTAAGACTTAACAAATGCTTTAATTGGAAATGGAAACATAACACTTAACAATTGCTTATCTTTTTTTACGCAAGGCTTAAGCTAGGCCTTGGCCTTGAGGCCTAGGCTCCTAACTAGCTAGGCCTATAGAGGCCCTACCTAGCTAGGCCTAGCTAGCCTAGACTCGGGCCTAGGGTACTACTACTAGGTTAGACCAAGGCCTAGTAGTATAAGATATATGTAAGATATATTTTATTTATTCGTCCAATTTGTAACACTCTAAAAATTGCTTTCCTTTTTGGCCTAGAAAACAGTAAAAAAACAAAAATACAGAGCACAGACAAATACACAAAAAATATGTCCCAATAAAAACTTCACAAAAAAGAATTTAAAAATAAACACAATTATTGGGAAATCACCTGCTTATTAAAAATAGAAATAGAATTCGGAATAAAAGTGCCTGTACCTAGATGTACGAGAACGTGGTACACACAATCTTATGCCAGACCTAATGTAACACCCTGAAATTTGTTTTCAACAATCCAGTGAATATTTGTAAACATACAACAAGTTTGTTTCTACAACAAGTCCAGACGTAGTAATGCTAAAGGAACTGTGACCCGCGCCATGACCACAGTACAAAAATTGATGTCAACAAATGAAAACCTTCTGGAAGTTAAGTTGCACATGGTTGAATTTAATTCTATTGTGGAGGAATTTTCTAAAGCACATGAGGATTATTACATACTTCTTACAGATGAAAAGCTAATGCATGAAGCGGAAAAATATAGAAAGCAATTTGTGGAAAAGGTAAATTGTTGGCATTGACTATTCTGCCGACACACATTTGTCTGTTTCAGAGGTCGGTAAGACCTCCGAAGTTTCTACAACATTGAGTGCTTTAGACGCAGCGCGAGCTAAGGCAAAGGCTGAGAAAGCAGCACTTGAAGCTGAAATTCAGGCTTTAACTGAGCAAAAGGCTCTTGAAAAGGAGCAATTTGAGCTCCGAAGAATTAAAGAATTGCGCCAAATGGAAATTGAGAGACAGCGATTTCTTTCCCAGCTGGATCTAGAAATGGAAAAACATCACTCAATGATTGAGATGGAAAGAAAAGAGTTGGAACTTGAACACCGACGCCAAGAGTCATAATTAAGTACCAAATTAGCAAAGGCTGATGCTGTACAGAAAGTATATTCTGATGTGATTGATTCTAATGCTGGAGTGCGTTTCATGCACTCTACACCAAATGATGTATGCCTGCCGACAATGGATCAACCTCAGCATGAAGGATCCACTAATACTCCTGCAAACCCTACACCTAAACCAGTAAGTTTGTCCTGGGAACCTTCTGCTGTGCCAAAAATGGAAACACAGGTGCCGAATGTCTCGGAGCAAGCATCTGAGCTGACATACGCTATACATCAAATGTTAAAAGACTCAAAATTACACCAGCTATCCCTTGTGGAGGCCTTGCAATTGCCAAAGAACGAGTTGCCAGTGTTTGATGGCGATCCGTTAAAGTACTGGTCATTTATCAGAGCTTTCGACAATACTGTTGATAAAAAAACCACAGATGATGGAGCGAAGCTTATGAGTCGGATCCAATTTTGCACCGGAAAAGCCAAGAAATTACTCCAATGCTGCCTGATTAAGGAACCAAGTGACGGTTACCTTTTAGCTAAGAAATTGCTAAAAGAAAGATTCGGCAACAATGATACAATTGCACAGGCATGGATTGATAAAATTGTCAAACAACCAGATGTAAAGAGTTCTCTTGATTTGCAAGATTTTGCTGATGAGTTGAGAGGTTGTCAGGAAACCCTAGAGTCTATGGGTTTTCTAAGCGAAATGGAGAATCGTAGAAGTCTTTGTCAAATTGCTGAGAAATTACCAAATTATTTGAAAACTCGGTGGTTGAAAAAGAATCATAATATCAAGTTTGAGAAAAATCGAAATCCAAGATTGGATGACTTGATTCTGTTCATCACTTCAGCCGCCCGTGAAGCAAATGATCCCATATTTGGGAAATTGATCCAGAAAGAGAAACACACCATCACACATGACCATGACCAAAGGGAAGCTTTACTGTACAGTCAAAACCTGTTGCTTTGCCGGAAAACCCCCAAATCAATTTTATACAAAGTCGTACTTAATATACCGGTAAGCCGAAAGATATTTGTATATATTGTGGACAGAACCATTTTGTTACCTACTGGAAATCCTTTAAGGCCTTGCGTGTGAAATATAGGCTAGCCTATGTTCGATCAAAGGCGTTATGTGTTAATTGCTTTAAACCTGGACACTATGGGAAGGATTGCACACGCCCGTTTACTTGTACCATTGATGGCTGTGGTCAAAAACATAGCAAATTCCTACATATTCCACGACATCAAGAAGATGATCGTGGTAATCCTATCACAACATCTACTGTACCTCAGACGTCGCAACAAAAATTACCACCAGTGTTCGTACCAAGTTCTACAATTAAGAGTAACTTTATTCATGTGCAGAATAAAAAGGTTGCATTGCCGATTGTTGCTGTTCGTGTACGTGGTAATGATCAACAAACATTTGTAGACACCTATGCCTTGGTTGATCCCGGTGGCACTGCCAGTTACTGTACTGATGAGTTAGCCAAGACACTTAGTAAGCAAAGTAAGCTCTTAATAAACACCGAATCTGTAAACCTTAACCTGTCTAACTTGCAAGATACATACCATACATTTATGCCACAGGTTACTATAAGGCCATCTTTGAACTTGGATGCTGAAAATTTAGCTTGTAGAGAAGAGCTATCAAGGTGGCCGCATCTGAATGATATAGAGCTACCAGTCCTCAATAATTCGAAGGTTCAACTTCTCATTAGACAAGATATGCCTGACTTGCTCTGTCCACATGAAGTACGCAGAGGGAATCCAGGTGAACCGTTTGGAGTATGGACAGTTCTGGGCTGGGCCATAAACGGTCCTATTGGTGGATGGAACTGCCAATCCCAGTCAAGTCACTATGTACAAAGTAAAACAAATTTTGATAATTTGTGGTGGTCTGAAAGTACCGAGGAAACTGTGATGTCCTTCAGTGACCGAAGGGTCATATCTAAATGGAACGACTCCACTGTGTTAGAAAAGGATGGACATTACACAATGAATATTCCATTCAAAAACAACCCACCAAACTTGCCTGATAACCGACAGATCGTAAATCATAGACTGCACCTACTGGGTAAACACATGACTAAAGATGCTGCACTCAAAGAGAGATACACAGCAGAAGTGCACAAATTACTTGATGCAGGCTATGCCGAATTAGTACCTGACAATTAGATCTACAGAAGTGACGGTTGTGCGTGGTACCTCCCACATCATCCAGTACTTAACCCTAAAAAACCTGACAAATGTAGAATAGTATTTGATTGCGCTGCTAAAGCAAATGGTACTTCGTTAAATGAACAAGTATACCAAGGACCGGATCTGACAAAAAAATTGATTGGTGTCCTCCTTCGCTTTCGACAAGAGTCAATTGCTTTCATGGCGGACATTGAGAGTATGTTCACCAAGTACGAGTAACACCTTCTGATCGTGATGTTCTTCGCTTTCTGTGGTGGGCCAACAACAATCCAGGTGATATTCCTCTTGTATACCGAATGACTGTCCACCTATTTGGTGGTGTTTGGAGCCCCAGCTGTGCCAACTTTGCTCTTCGTCGTACCATTGAATATAATGCAAGTGAATTTCACCCCAAGGTATTGCAGACTGTTAAAACGAACTTTTATGTTGATGATTGCTTGAAGTCCGTGCCGTCAGCTGATGAAGCTGTCTACCTCGTTCACCAATTAAAGGAACTACTACTGCGGGGTGGATTTCGACTTAACAAGTGGATTTTTAACTGTACAGAAGTTATCTATTCACTACTTGAAGAGGAATGGACTAAAGGTTTGAAGTGCTTAAATATGAACTTTGACAACCTTCCTTGTGAAAGAGCCTTGGGTATGCTTTGGAATGTTGAGCTAGATCAATTCCAGTTCAATATACAAGTGGAACCTAAGCCTATGACACGTCGGGGACTGCTAAGTATTGTAAGTTTCGTCTATGATCTCCTGGGATACACTGGACCATATGTATTGAGAGCAAAGATGCTCTTTCAACAACTTTGTCGTCTTAACTATGGTTGGGATGATACCATACCACCAGAAATTGCTGAGCAGTGGGGCCGATGGCTCAAAGACATTCACCTCATGAGGTTTGTTTGTGGAGCAGGACTTGTACAAGAGACGCTGGCGTCAGATACAATATATGGCCAATGTATTCTGGAGACGTTGGTTAAGTGAATACCTACCTGCACTTCAGGAACGACAAAAATGGTTAACACCCAAGAGAAACATACAGACGGCTGACCTAGTTCTAGTAAGATTTGAAAATACTCATCGCTCACAGTGGCCTTTTGGATTGGTCACCGAAACCTACCCAGGCACAAATGGACGCGTGCGTTCTGTGCAGATCAAAACGCAATCCGGTGTATATGACAGACCTGTAGTGAAAATTTGTTTATTGGAGGGTTGTGCTTTGGAAACCTAGTGTGTAAAGTAAAACTTTGCATCGAAAAGAGAACATTTATATTGGACTCTATATTTAAAGAAATATATTAGCTGTATTTGCATCATATACAATTCAACAATTTTAAACTAATATTACTATTGTTAATTATTCATATATTGGTCTGAATTTTGGAATAACTATGACACACACCTTTAAGATATAAAATACCAATAAGCTGCTTTTAATACTGTAGTTAGATACTGAAGAGAAACAGTATAATACCGCTGAGGAAAACCAGATGAGGAATACCGAACTGAGGAAACCAGGAGTAGCCAACCATTATTAACATATATATTTATAAAAATAAAGGTAATATAAAGGTTTAGTTCATTTATAGATAATTTAGTATAAGCTTAAAGTCCTTTTGTTTTTTAAATATTTCAGGGTATCTTTCTTTGAATACATTGTAATGTATTGGGGCCGGTGTACCACCCTGAAATTTGTTTTCAACAATCCAGTGAAAATTTGTAAACATTAACTGTAGCTCAGAACAACACTGTATTCATTCATACAATGTTTTAGTTTATTATCAAATTGGTATGTCTAGTCAGCACTACACAGGATATGTAGCATTTTTACTGATACCTTTGCAAGCTGTAGACATAGGAGAAATACTTACAATAATTACAGTATACCTTTGGATACTACATACACCCAGGAGACTCAGTGATGTGAGTTTATATTTCTTATTTATCTCTAATAATTTATATCCTTTATTTCAGTTTGAACCGTTCATAAGTTCTTTCGTTCGTTCGTTCATACGTTCATCTTTCGTTCGTTCGTTCGTTCTTTGAATCATTGTATACCATTGATAATCCGTTATCTTACACTGTTGGAAAACCTTAAGAAATAAATGAACAGAACGCGTAAACATTATGCTGAGTTCAACTGTGAATTTTGTTAATTGCAACGCTTTTAACGTTTAGCGACGTTACACCTATTGTAATTAAAATAATATTGAAAGGGTGTGTTTTATCATTAATTATCCTATGTACTTTCAAATGAATCAGGCTAGTATATAATGTTTCAATAGTTTCAATTTCAGCGACCTCTCCTATACGTTTGACAGCCTTAGTTGTATGTTCATGTTTAGCTAATATGTTCTTTTTCGACACGTTACCGTATATAATACAAATTAGATTAAAGGTTAAAATGCTAAGAACAACAGATTTAAAAAATAAGATTAATAATATAGTCTTATCAACATTAAAACCACTAAAGCTTTGATTTGCTTTATGTATCGTAATTTCTGATTGAGTTGAAAAATTAAGTTTGTTACCTATAATAGTACCTAAATATTTGTATTCGTCAACTTGTTTAATAGTTTCATTTTTAAATTTTAGTAATTCAAACCATTCTGCCCTTTGCGCAAATCAATTACCATCTCTTTAGTCTTTTTCATGTTAATTAGATAGTGCTCATCGCACCACCGGACATAATTATCTATTTCATTTTTTTTCATTCAATCCTTGGTATACAGGCAGAAAAGTATGGAGGACAACACACACCCTTGTGGTGCTCCTGTACTATTTGTTCTTAGAGTAGACTTGATATATATATATTTTTTTTAATATAAATTATCCTTAATACTTTAGAAATAAATAGAAAGGCTTGAGATGTAGCAGGTGAAAACGGCAATACCCAAAATGGCAATGAAACAAAACGGCAATGACAAGTACCAGAATGGCATCTGAGACCAATGCAAAGGAGAGAAATCAATGCCAAGGCTAGCAAGCGCCACAGGACGTGGGCCCCAGTATAAAAATTTCTGAATCGTTTTAAAATCGTCTCGATAGGCAAATTGAATATTGCCATGAGGTCTTTTTCCCACTTTTAATGTTTATTATTAATATTATTTCGCATTATTTTACTTTTATGACATAAATTGTTTAGCCTCATTTTGTATGTATTTTTAAAGTTGTATTTGTTTAAATGTTTTTAGGTCTACTGCTTTTATATTGTTTCCCCCCAATCTTTTTAATATTCACTTATTATTATAATTATTATTGTTATTATTATTATTATTATTGTTATTATTATTATTATTATTATTAATGATTTATTGTTATTATTGTTATTGATATTCTTGCTGCTGCTAGTGTATTTAGACTGGTTTTTACCATATTTAATCTTAATACACTTTCATGTTTATAATTAGTTAATTTCTTTCTCGTTTTTACTTTTGACATAAATTGTTTAGCATCGTTTTGGTCTTGCCGTTTTGACTTATTACCATTGTGGTCTATTACCATTTTAAATCAAAAAGTGTTGCCATTTTGGTCATTGCCGTTTCGACTTACTTATTGCCATTTTGTCCAGAAACTGGTTGAGATCAAACCAGTGAGAATTTTTTGTTTGTTAATTAAAATTAGATTTATGCTCGTTTTTGTGTAATATATACCATATATTGTTGTATGTTATAGTTAAAACACTTGAAGAAATGTGTAAAATGGAATCAAAATTGGAACTAATAACATAAAATGCGAACCACCTCTAAATCGCTGGGTTACGTTTAAAGTAGAACTAGGAGAATCCTCTATCTCTGAATGAAACAAAAATGTCTTAGAAATTTTTTAACCCGCTATGCAAAAATAAATTGCCATATTTTTCTACTGAGGCCTCCAGTTAGTATACTCCACCATTTTTTAGAAATTTCATCTCAAAAACCAGACATTGTATACAGTACAATACTGTACAGTTAAAATGGATATGAAACGGTTTCTAGAAATCCAAAATCTTGTCATCATTGTTTAGAAAGTCATTGGAAAACCTCGGACACCCAATATTAAACGTATTGGACAATGCCTTACCCCCAAAAATCCCCCCGAAAGTCACTGAAAATCTTTTTGTGACGTCACAAAAAGATAAATTTGTACTGCGAGGATAGGGAATGTGGAATTTATTTGCCAATTGACACAATACAGTGATGGTAATAGCTAATCCGCTTTACATTTTTGTTCCTGGATATGTATTTCATCGTAAATGATTAAAATTTGGCTATACATTTCTCAAATTATTTTTTCAAGTCCATTTTTAATGTTGTTTTTACGACTGTCTTTTACGAATTTGGCAGCCATATGCCTCGGAGGATAGGCACACGGATGTAATTACACGCATGCGTGAAATTTGGTGAAATCCACAATACACTAGTTTTTAGCTGTAGCCATTTTGTTCTCGCGTATTTTATAGTGTTCATCACAATTCCAATTATTGTTAATATTAATTGACCGATCTTATGGCAAGTGACAATCAGTCATCATCATCCGGTGAAGAAAAAGCTGCGGAGCCTCGTAGGCTTATTGTAAATTTTGGCCAAATTATGGCATTTATTGGCGACGATGTACCAAGCAAGGCCCGTCGCTGTTGCTGATGATGATGAACTTGGTGAACTTTCGCCTAGGTTTGGGTTTACCGGGAAATATAAACGTGCGGCAAGCGATTTTTTTTTCCGTACGAAACATTTACATGAAACTCCACTCGGGCCGTCTCGGCTGAATCGGCCCGAAAATCTCATTGCAAGAATTCAGGAGGTCAAAAGGTCAACAGATAAACGTCTACAGAACAACTTCTGAGAGAACGTCGCTGTCTAATTTTTAAAAATACATTGGTCGTTTAAAATTACATATAATATTTGATTAAGCTGCACGAGTAATGAAAAGTGTTATTTTAAATTGAGTTACATACCGTACTATGACAATTTTAATTTTTTAGTTAGGCCTGGGTTTTGCATAATTACCTACGCCTACTAAAA